TCTATCTATCTATCTATCTATCTATCTGTCTATCTGTCTATCTATCTATCTATCTAATAAATTTCTCTGTTTTACTGTAATTTCCCTTTCAGATAAAGAAAGAACTAATTTACAGATGCTGTTATTTACACAGATTTTACTTTTTTCTTTCTTTTTTTACAGACTTTTTTCTCCACAGTGTAAATAAAAAGCCTGCTTCTTATTTATGGTTTATTATAAAGTGAGTTTTTACTAAAGGAAACGTCCACAGCAGTCGTCCATGAAGTCCACTCTTGTAAATGTAAATAAACTTAAATAGATTTGACCTGGATGGATTTCCTGATAAATTAAAGCTCTAACTAAAAACCTCATGTACAGCATGACATCAGAATGATAAAAAACTATTTGTGTGAAGCAAAATTATCCTCACAAAATATATAATTTCATGTTCACATCAGCGTCGGTGCCAGAACATCTGATACCGAACGCAGCATCACAGTATAGGAGGATGAAAAAAATTAAAATATTACTGAAATTCTACATTTTCATTTAGTTTTCCTCCTACAACTAGAATTTCATTTCAAGTAAAATGTTATTAAAAACAAAAACAAAAGCCTTCAGCATGAGATGAACTCTACATTTCCACCTGCGTTCCTGTTACAGGTCAATTCAGGACAAATATTATGCAAAGCGAAAGAACGACGTCTCACCAGCTGACATCGGCTGTGCTGTGGATGACTCGCGACCGGCGTCACGATCGTCCACATGGGTACCAAGACAAGCAGGATGGGAGTGAGGCCGTGGACTGGCATCTTCTCATCCTCACTGCTGAGAAGGTGAGAGAAGGACAGAGGATTAGGCTCTGGATGACTCAAAGTGGAGGTTTTATCTTTTTACACTTATCTAAAAGAAAAAAAAAAGTTGTATTCAGTTCTGTTTATCTGATTATTTAACTCACTGTTGATATCATGATTACATAACCTGCACTAGCCGTCCTCTTCTGCAGTTTAAAGCCACGGTTATGACAACATGTGTGCGATTAGCGTGTCATAAACACAATAAAGAGTTGGTTCAAGCAGTTTGTTAACCTTAAACGAACCTTTGAATGAGCAGAACGAGGCAGCAGCAGCGCCGACGACACTTTTTCCTTCGTCTTTGAAAGTTCAGTTTCGAATTAATTTCAGAAATGCTCAGACTGTAAGTCCAGTATTTTTATCAGTTTGTCTGATTTACTCTAAAGCGTTTCTTCAGCAAGAACACTGTAACGTCCCACAATTTATATGAGCATGAATGTCGCGTCCACTTCATGATTCTTGGAGGAATAAAATGCCCACATGCCTCCGCCGTGCCACCTGTTTCCCTCTGTGGAGGACCCAATACGTTGATTTAAATCGCTTATATTTCATCCTGAAAACAGCCGCTTTGTGAAAAAATGTCCTTAATTTCATCTCACACCGCCGTGTGACGCATACAGAATATGGAGGTTGTTCCTTTTTGCCTTGCAAGATTTCCTAACCCTTGAATTTTTACTCACATGACATGATTTCTCACACGTATGTGTAAGAAATGAAAGCTTTTTCTTTTAACTTTTTAGTTTTAATTTAATTTTTTCGCCCTTTTGTCACTTGTTAGTTCTGCTTCTGTGTGTTATTAATAGTTTGCCAGAACACATTTTCTAAACTGTGCTCTTACTTTCTGAAGAAAATATATTTGCAGACGATTGCTTTCTCTTTCTGACTGGACATCGAAAAAAAAATCACCATTTTAGAATAACGTGCAAGTTAGGACGATGCAAAACACACTGACAGGTTTGAAATGCACAGATGTACTCGGTGTGGTTCCATTCATTAATAAATGTCTAATAAAAGTGCATTTTTTTTTAGATATGCTGACGCTATTTTTACCAGAAGTGCGGTGATAAAAGCAGCCCTGGCAGGATTTACAGTGCGCCTCAAAGCAGCCCATCATTAAACTATCTCACGCAAATGCATCAAAGACCAGTTTAACATTCTTATTTTAGCCGCTCTAGTTTGCTCCTTTTAGCTGAGTGTCGCTGCAGCACCAGATCAGCACCTTGCACGTCTACTTACACTGGTGGTTAGGTGTGGATTTCCCAAGCCACTGACGGTTGATCCCCTGACCATATCGCTGGTTGCCTCGCTGCTGCAGAGCGCGTTCAGAGCGTGTGAAGTTCAGCCGCTTACCTCTGAGCTGACTGAAGCACCAAACTTCTTTTTTACTATTCACGGAAGCAGGCAGGCAACGGAAACCGAGTCACATGGACAAGCTGCCTCGATCACTCAGAGGTTCTCAAGCCCGGGGCCACAGGAAGGCGAGTGCAGGCTCAACAGCTCCTCGCCAAAAGCTGCACAAGTGCTGCTTTTTTTTTTTTTTTTTTCTTTCTTCAGAAGTGGCGCTGATGTATAGGCAGCTAATGCTGGTAGCGCAACTGCTACCACAAAAACCCAACGAGAACACACCCTTGACACCCTCTGCTCGTTGTGATCAGCCAAGCTACTCGAGAGGAAACCACTCGACACACACACGCCCTTCCTGCTGATGTTCGGCCTGCAACAGCCAAAACAAATATACACACAAGCTCAGCAGTGTGCATGAGGTGACATCTCAGCATGGTTTGGATGAAGCGCTTCAGAGGATGGTGAAGATGTTGGATTGCACAAACCTGTCAGCTGCAGCTACAGGAGCTCTGTCCTTTAAGACCTGACACACACTCTTGCTGACTTTAAGTGTCTTTCCTGAACACTGCATGTGTTTCCTTCTATGCTTCTTGCTGTCCAGCTGCCACTGAATGCACCATAAAACCTCCTTTGTCTTAACTCCAGCTTGTGCCTCCTTTGTGTTGGTGCAAAAATAAGGAATTAGGAATCAGGAAGTGATGGCGCTGTCCTTGGAGAGTTGATTAGTTAGTGATGCCTTCCTGTTTTCACACAGGACATCTCCGGCTCTCACTTCTGACTCTTGCAAAAAAAAAAGCACAGTTTGGTTGTGCGTTAGAAAAACACGAAGCGTATGCACAAAACTGAACCAAACGTGTCCCTGTTTGTTGTTGTGCATGTGTGCAAGAAAGTAAAGAAGAAAATCAGCCTTGTGAATGTTTTACGCTGGAGGAAATGAGTTCAATGTGTTTGTTTGACCTCCAGAAAGCTCACAATGCATAAGAAAGAAACTTATTTTACACAAAAACCTCTTGAGGGCACCTTTAAGTCTCTCCAAGCTGCATAAAAAATGGGATTTAAACACGTTTAAATCCTCCTGCCTTGCATCTGTCGTGGGTTTCTGACTCGTTTGGAACCAACAGTCTATAAAAGAATGCTTTCTGGCTAAACTAAGACGGCCAGTGTTTCACCTGTTTGGACTTCAGGTGGAGCTTTATGGCTTTAATCGTAGCTCATCATGTGATCTCAGACCATTCTCTTGTGGCTATCGAGTGAAAGCAGCCCTTGCTGGCCACTTGTGCAACGTTACAAACACGTGCAGCCCAAGTGTGAACTGCGGTCGCTATTCGTTGTCTTTGCCATCAGCAGATGCCAGATTAAGACGTGGTTTCGACATTTGCATTCTATTTCTGAGAGCTGAGGAGGCCGTGTGGCAGCTGAGGTGTCAAGCCTCACTGGTGAGGGGTGATGTGAGCGGTTCCTTCTCGACAGAGCAAAAGCAACGAGGACTCAGCAGCATAATACCGTAAATGTTGGAATACTTTGAATTCTTAGGGTCTCTGGTTGATGTTAAATTTATTTTATTTTGCGTTATTTGCCTGATTCCTCAAAAGCAAGTACATTTAATTCATCTCCAAACTAATATCCTTCAAATCAGTTTATTTTGATATATTTTAAGCTAAAATGTCTTTACATCTGAAGATGGATGGCGTCTGTCTGTGACAGTAAATCACACAGGAGCAGGTTCTGCTGCGGCCTGAAGCTGTTTACATGCACCAGACGATCGCTGCCCTCTTGTGGAAACAGGACGTGTGTTTGTTCAGGAGAATCATATCATTTTAGAGTCTTGGGTCTGTCAGATGCCATAAGAGTGATTTTAGAGTTTAACTTTGCATCATGTAAAGACACGACTACATTTTATGTTTAAATATCAACCAAGTACTTCAGATAACTCAGACAGAAGCCAGGAGTTTTTTGCATGTTTGCAGCTCATTTTTTAAGGAAAGATTTTCTTTAAAGATGCAGTAAAATATTGTAAGAATGAGATCACAGTTATGTCGTCACAGTATATTTAAATC